TTGTTTAGATAGGTTTTCATTACCTTATCTTTCTGCAAACAGTCTTGTAAAATCTGTATTGATCTTCTCTATCAATATATATTTTAAATTTGAAAATACTATGTTTGTATTCATCTCCCCCCTTCTACAAACTGTTTCTATTCTTGTAGACCCTTACGGGACCAACAGGCTTGTTAGGGATTTGGGAGATGATGGAGGTTGGTAGGGTGTTAAGGTTTTGGAGGATGGTATGTAGTTGGGTGATGATGTATGTAAGGTTCTCATCGGCCTCAGTTGCCTGGGCCGTGAGGGTGGCGATAGAGTGGATGAGTATTTGGTTTTTTTGGGTGGCAAGGGAGGATGCGGTACTATGGTGTTGGGTGATGGTTTGTTGGAGCATTTGGAGACGTATGGTATTGTCTCGGGTTTGGGTTTCAATTTGGGAGAGGTGGCGTTGAATTATTGCAAGGGATTGTTGAAGGTCGGTGTTATCGGTTGAGGGTGGGTTGTCAACAATCCCTTGAATGATGATTTTACGGTCTTCCAAGGACCGCATAACTGAATCAACAAATGCTTGGAACTCGGCCTTTATGACCAGGTCTACAATGGGGGTAACCCCTGCAGCAATGGATGCTGCAGGTTGGGCCTCTACTCCGGAGGCGCCTTCTTGGCCTTGTGAAAATGTGGGCCTAGAAGGACTTCCATCATGTCCTTGATAGCCCTCAAGAGAAGAGCTATCTCATGATGTTGTGAAAATGTGGACCTAGAAGCGAATGTATGTCCCCTTTGGTAGATCAAATATCGAAGGGCATTGTACATGAAAGGAAGATCGCTCTGAACGATTTTGGGGTTGTTCAATGTCAGAAGCAACACATGCTTTTGTGTGTGTGATTGGTTGTGTCAAGCCCTGAGGCGAAAGGGCTCTTATATCTTCATCACCTCTCTGTTGGGAAAAGGGGTGATGGAATATGGGGTTCCTTGGCTGATTCATCTCCAGAGGCCCGAAGAATGGCCTCTAGATGGCTGGCTGGGGTTGGGATTGGACTGGGTCGTCCTTGTTCAATACCCCTGTGGCTTTGATCGCCAGGGGTAGATGTTGTGGTTGCCCTTTGGGTAGTCGGTGGAGGAATTGTATGAGTAGGGCCAGGGGAGGCACGATGAGTAGCATCATCATCATCATCTTCATCATATGATGAAGATGTCTCATGTGCTCCCCCGCTTCGTTCGGGGGACGGCTCTAGTCGCTCTGGGGTAGCTGCCCTCGGTTCCTGGGACAACATAGAGCGTTCATAGGTCTGGCGTATCTCAGATGTTGATGGAATGACATTGAGCATAGCCCTTGAGAGTGGGTGGTTGATGGTGTAACCCTCCTTCGAGAGGGTTGGTCGATGGCCATGCATCTTGTAAACTGGAGTGACGGGCTCTTCAACAGGTAGTCCATGTTTCCTCATTGTGTCCCCAATGACGAGGGCGAGGAAACGAGGGAAGAGAACCGCAGATAAAGGCTTGCCAGCGGCTTGGAGTTTGCATTTCTTGACCACCGCCGAGTGAATCTCATTGTAGATGAGAAAGGCGTAGTCAAGGTTGAGGTTGAAGAACAACCCGTACATGATTGTCATAATGTTGATATTCCCTTGGTCCAATGACCCTAACTTGCATGTGATGGCCCTGTTGAGGATGGAGAAAAACATGTTCCACATTGGCGGGAGGAATTGGCGTTTGAAGTCTGAGACGTTGCATAGGTCACGATTGTAACCTAGCATTTTAACGAAGCATAGGATGTCATCGATGGTGGGTGGTTCGTCATATTCTGCAATTCCAAGCTCCCGTCGAGTGGGAATGCACAGTACTCGAGAAACTTTAGCCCGCGATATTTTGAGCGAGCATATCATATCATTTGGGGCATCCATGTCCCCCATGATTCCATGGCTGTCGGGGAGGAAATCACATGTTTGCTAGTATTGCTGGATGTACTTTAGTGGTACGCCGATGTTAGCAAGGGTCAAGGCAGGAAGAAGAATACAGTTCTTGAAGAACTCGATCATGACTGCAAATCGATCGTCGAACAGTGTGTTTCGAAGTTCAATAGCGTGGTTGTTTGGCTTCATGGGAAGGAACACGATAGCATGGCTGTCGGCGCCGGTGGAAATAATCATGAAAAAGTTTTGGCGGTTTGGCAATTGACGATTTGATTTGGAGATCGTGAGCTGTCTTGATTGTACGTACCATTAATGTTGGAGGACACGTGTCGAGGTAGGGTTAGGGAGGGGGAAAGTTGAAACGGTGTATGGGGAACAGGTTGTATATGGTGTCAGGCGCGTGTTAGGATGACATATGGATTATTTGAAATAAGAAGTTATTTCAAATAATATCTTGAGAAATATGTATTCAAAAACAATTTAAATTTAAAATCCCATCTAATTGGAAGATTAATACTAATTACGAAGTTTTGATCTTCTAAAAAACCATGTTGTATAGTTTTTAGTCACAAAAGCTGCAATTTTGTATTATCTTTTAAAAGTGTTTTGCAATTAAGATGGGTTTTGTAAATGAAAGATATTTTGTCATGGAACCAGAGGTGTCCTGGTTGACCATGACACATTGGGTGGGAAACCAGAGGGGATCTGGTTGAACATCAATGAAGGAATTCATCGATGAAATGTTGGATTGCATGATTGATAGGCCTTAGATGACTAACTAGAGGCCCTAGAAAAGCATTGACAATCCATTTTATAGAACCAGAGGAGTTCTAGTTAAATTCATATTTAGCATTTCTGGATAGTAGAACCAGAGGCTCTGGATGGAAAATGCGTATAGTTTGAAGATGAAATAGTTGCTCCCCCTTGAATGATGCATGAAGAATGGTTTTGAGGTTTGCAAAAACTCCCCCTCAAACAAATAATAATGAAAAATTAGGGGACCAGAGGCTCTGGTCTTTAGAACCAAAGGCTCTGGTTGCAAAGACAGGGAAAAAGATGTATGAGAAAATGGTTAAGGGTACGGGAAAGAGTATAGAGGTTGAGCCTTTGAGACTAGAGGGGCTCTGGTTCCAAAGGCTTTGATTCCAGAGGCTCTGGTCTTTAGAACCAGAGGCTCTGGTTTCAAAGGCGATGAAATGAAGTATACAAATAGGAGTCAAGTGCATGAGAGAAATGGGGGGTTAGGGGACTCTTTGGGTTCAAAGGAGCTCTAGTTACAAAGAGTATGAATCCAGAAGCTCTGGTCTTTAGAACCAGAGGCGTTGGTGGTCTTAGAGATGACAAGAAATATGAAGGGATTTAGATCGTGCCAAGTCTTATTTGTAAACCAGAGGTCTCTGGTTGCAAAGGACTTGGAAACCAGAGGCTCTGGTCTTTAGAAC